TATGTAAAATATTTAAAAATATTCATTATTTGAATTTTATTTATTTTAATGTTATTACGTAATATTAAATATTTTGTTATATTATTTAGCTATTTTTAATGTTTTTTATTTAAGATTTTTAGTTATTGAAATATTTTATAATGTTTTATTTTTTAATGTTATATTTTTATTATTTGTATAAAATTTAAATTGAATAATTCGTAAAATTATAGTTTGTATTGTTACTACATAATTTCATGATGAATTTTGTAAAAATATTGAATTATTAATAATATGAATATTTTTAAATCTATTATTTTTTTTTTGTGTTTTGAATAAATATTTTAAATTTAGTATATAATTTTATTATAACATTTAAATAGTTCTGAATTTTTTAAATTGAAACTTTCTTTAGATAGATATTGATAAAAAGTGGGGGAGAGGATAAATAGGAATTAGAGATAGTTTATGAGAGAATCTCTCTATAAATTAGAAATAATTCAAGAGATAAATAGGAGTTAGAGATAATTTAGGAGATAAATAGGAATTAGAGACAATTTAGAATGAAGTGGGGGGAAAGTGGTGCCACTTGACTAAACATTATAAAAGCAAATCACTCTTTCTTTATGGTTGTTAGAAATAATTAAGCATATGTGATTTCCTTATTGATTTAATGGGTAATTATATGGAATTAAAAAATAAAAAATTAAAAAAAAAACAGAAAATTAGGAAAGAGGATTTCCTGCAAGGAGAACTATGCTGATATGGCAGAACCAGTTTTAATCTCTCTCTCTGTCCAAATTCAAAATTCCAAATCCAAACTGTTAAGTATTGGCCTTTGCTCTTATGACAAGTTGAACTGTGCAATTTCATGTCTCAATGCTCACATTTAACTCTATGAAATATGATTTTTAAAACCAGACTGGACCGAATGGTCAGATGGGAAAACCAAGAACTGATTAGGTGAACGATTTCGTTTCACAGCACCCTTAACCGCAATGCGAGAAGAGGGTGCAGGTCATCCATCGTCCGTATATAAATGGTCATTAATTTGCGGGTTTAAACATGTTATCATTGTGGAAAGATCCAAGGTGTTGTAGCCCGAGCAACGTTTGTGTGTACAGGTACGGGCCCATTGATATATGGATCATGAAGAATTAAGAATCCAATCCTCTTAACACTGGATCAGACCATATTAGTCGGACTCGGACCATGCAGTACAAACAATCCCAACCCGAACTCTTGTGGGAATACCGAATATCTTGCAGGCACCGGATATTTTTATAGTGCCCCAAAGTTCATGCAAATTATCTTCTTGAACGGTTATACCCTCTATTCCAAATTCCAACGAGTCGATTACGATCAACGGATCAACTATGCAATTTATTTTTCTTTCTTTTTTTTTAATATAATTTTCGTTGATATAAAGTCTTGGGATATTGTGGCTGCTGACATGGCGGCATCTACGCCTTACAAAAGTAAAACCCCAAACGAAAAGGAAATGGTTCGTTGGTTTCTTCTGGAACCATCTCCTCCCCTTAAACCCTGCACAGCGGGTTTTACTTTCTTGCTCTCTAGCCTCGTTAGAGTTTTGAGTTCCAGCCAATAAGAAACCAGTAAGGGAGTAATTGTTTATCTGTTTAGGGCTTTTATCTGCATTCCTCTGCAAGCTTCTTTAGAGTCCAATGGCACCCGTCCTAAGCAGGAGCTTGGCTTCAGCTTCTGTTGCCTCTCTTCCTTCGTCATCATCATTTTCGGTGAAGAACCACAATAAAGTTTCGAATTTCAGAACTTCTTTTATACCCCGGAACGCTTTGAGACATGGATTTCCTGCTTGTGGATTGAAATGGAAGCTCGATAGGAAAAACAATCGATTGGCTGTCCGCTGCGAGGCGGCCGTCGCTGAGAAAGAAGCCGAGGACGCCTCTGCTGAGAAGTTCGAGTACCAGGCGGAGGTTGGTTTTCTATGTGCATCTTTGGTTTATACTGTTTCGGGTAGCTTCTGATACTAAAATCGAATTGAAGTGTTTGGAATTGAAGTCCAATGCATCATCTCATTTCTCGTTATGTAGATACTGATTAGATATCTGACTATGTAATGGATTAATAAGCACATATTTCTTTTTGGAAAACATGTTCTTTTTTGAATATTTCACCAAACATTTGAATTGTCATTTATGGACAAGGTTATCGCTTCTTCATCTTCCCCAATTGAAGATATGGATTTCTAACCATTATTAGCATGTCTGGGTGTTTTATGCTATCATTCTCTGCTACTTTTTATGCTGCTGCCATTTTTTTTTTTTTTAATTTTTATGTACATCTTTATATATAGTATGTGGATTATCATCTCATGGCTTCTGAAAATTCGAGTATCAACTAAATGCAGGTCAGTCGACTATTGGACTTGATAGTTCATAGTTTATACAGTCACAAGGAAGTGTTCCTTCGGGAGCTTGTGAGGTGGGTCTCTTCGACATGTCTTTCTATTATCTTGTCTCACTCCGGTCATGCATCTGTGTTTTATTTTAATTTTGTTTCTTAGCTTCCTCTCTTAGCATTTATTCACTTATTTGAGAAGATAGACACTGGTTTAAATGTATACTCTGAGGGAGTCCATTTGGGAGGGGAGGGTTCTCATTCTTTTAGTTTTGGGATCGAAGTTAATTGTCTCCTCTGCTCAACATGATTGTTGATTAGTTCTTATTTCTAACTCACTCTTGAAATTGTTATATAAAATATTTTTCAATAACTTTTTTAAATGCTCCTCTTTTATGACTGCTTTATGTTCTGCAATTTCAGCAATGCAAGTGATGCTCTAGATAAGTTGAGATTCTTGAGCGTGACCGAACCTTCTCTTCTAAGTGATGCTGGTGAACTGGAGATACGCATAAAACCTGACCCAGACAATGGGACCATCACCATAACGTATGGTTACTCCGGCCATTTTCTTTTCTTGCTTATGAGTGGGATGTGCTGCTTAAATTTTTTCCTTGAACTTGCAGAGATACTGGTATTGGGATGACCAAAGAGGAGCTCGTTGACTGTCTTGGAACTATTGCTCAAAGTGGAACCTCAAAATTCTTGAAGGCTCTTAAGGTGTTTCTTCCCTCCTGTAATTCCATGTGATTTATGTTCTTGAAGGATGGCACATTTCCCTTTTCAAAAATAAAAAAAAAGATGGCCCATTTCTATTTGGACTTTGGAGTTGCTCATTGTTTTTTTTCCTATGAGTAGGAGAATAAAGATGTTGGAGCAGACAATGGCTTGATTGGTCAGTTTGGTGTTGGGTTCTATTCTGCATTTCTTGTTGCTGAGAAGGTACATTTTGATCCTTAAGAGGCTAGATTTATGTGGTTCCACCAAACACTTGAGATTGATTATCATGCATCTAGAGATTTCATATATATTTTCACTGTGATGTTTCCTTATTAATGTCATTTCTGTTTCAGGTGGTTGTGTCTACAAAGAGCCCAAGGTCAGATAAGCAGTATGTCTGGGAGGCAGTAGCAGACAGTAGCTCATATGTGATTAAGGAAGAGACTGATCCTGAAAAATTTCTACGTCGTGGAACACAAATCACCCTTTATTTAAGGGTATCTTTCTTGTTATTCTGTTCTCTTCATGGTACTTGGGTGTCTCATATAAGCCCCTAAGTTTTGGCCGCTTTCATCTTGCAGCCAGATGATAAGTATGAATTCTCTGAGCCAAGCAGGATACAAGGTCTGGTGAAGAATTACTCTCAGTTTGTTTCCTTCCCCATTTACACATGGCAAGAAAAATCAAGAACTGTTGAGGTAAGGGCATCTTTTTTGTTTACAGAAACAATATTATCAACACTCACTCCCAAACAAAAAATGGTTTTAATTGGACAGTGACTTCTTTATAGGTAGAAGAGGAAGAAGCAAAGGAGGGAGAAGAAGCAAAGCCTGAGGTAATTTTTCGAGGATCCTATTAATGGGAAATTGGGAATTATGGTTTGTCAGATTCTTTTAGACTTTAAATATCCAAGCCAATTGCTTTACTTCTTTCCAGGGTGAGAAGAAGAAGAAAACTGTAACTGAGAAATACTGGGATTGGGAATTAGCCAATGAAACAAAACCCATATGGGTAAGTCAAAATCATTTCTAGTTATTATTCAATTAGTAGCAAAGTATGTCTCCTTATTGACCTGTTAATTGTAACTGGCTTTCCTATGTATCACTTGATTGGCTTCTTTGTGTCATGTTTATGGATAGCTTATGTTTTTTCTTTTAATTTATTTGTTTTAGATGCGGAACCCAAAGGAAGTTGAGAAAGATGAATACCATGAGTTCTACAAGAAGACATTTAATGAGTTCTTGGACCCACTTGCATACACCCACTTCACTACTGAGGTATACAACTTTCCTTTTCTTGGGTATCACATTGGTTATTTTTCTAGGTTGAGATTTCTAACCTCAGTGTGACAATTGAGTAGGGTGAGGTGGAATTTAGAAGCGTACTTTACATTCCTGGAATGGCTCCTCTTAACAACGAGGACGTAATAAACCCCAAGACAAAGAATATCCGACTGTATGTGAAACGTGTATTCATTTCAGATGATTTTGATGGTGAGCTGGTAAGCATTATTTTACAGTGTTGCTATGGATAAAAGTACCCTCTGCTTCATGTGTTTCAGAGTCTCTTTGGTCATAATTATACAATGTTTCAGAGGATTAACTGATCTTGAATCTCATGTAGTTTCCACGGTACTTGAGCTTTGTAAAAGGTGTGGTGGATTCGGATGACCTGCCTCTCAATGTTTCTCGAGAGATACTTCAAGAAAGTCGAATAGTAAGTGAAAACTTGTTTTGTTTCTCATTAACAGGAGTGGTCCTAGGTTATTCTGTATTTAATAAAATAACTGGAGCTCCTCTTCACTGTTAAATGGATAAATGGTTCTCCATATGGAAAAGTACACATGTGTGTTTTCTAAACTCAAGGGATCAAAATAGCTTTTAGCTCTTGTAGATGCTATTTCACAGACATTTACTGTGCTATTCTTCAAATTTATACTGGCAGGTAAGGATCATGAGAAAGAGACTTGTTAGGAAAACATTTGATATGATTCAGGAGATATCTGAAAGTGAGAACAAAGAGGTAAGACAAAGCTCACTTGTAATCTTTAGATTTTGCATATGAAAATTGTGTTTAAATAATTCTATTATTTAACTTTTTGCAGGATTATAGGAAATTCTGGGAGAACTTTGGAAAGTTTCTTAAGTTGGGATGCATTGAGGACTCAGGCAACCATAAGCGCTTCACACCCTTGCTGCGGTTCTACTCCTCCAAAAGTGAAGAAGAACTTACTAGCTTAGATAACTATGTTGAGAACATGGGTGAGAACCAAAAGGCTATCTATTACTTGGCAACAGACAGTTTGAAAAGTGCAAAAACTGCCCCCTTTTTGGAAAAGCTGGTCCAAAAGGATATTGAGGTATGTGCCTATTATATCTTTGATGACACTTTACACAAATAAAAGAGAATGTCTAATAACCCAATTCCAACAGTAAACTCAAGTGTGATTTCTAACTCCATGGTTTAAGTATGGAGTTCAAAGATAGTCAAATAGCAAACAAGACAACAGAGCAAGTTTAGTAACTAATCTATGTAAAATCAGCTTAAAAGTATGCTTCTGTCTGATATTGGTAAGGACAATTTTTTTAGATTGGAAATTCAGTATAAAATGAACTAAAAGCCACTTCTATGAAAAAATGATATTAATCATGGCTTTTTGATAAGTAAAGGAAAAGCAAAAAATAAGGAAGATGAAAAGAAATACAAAAAAAAATATAGATTTCTTAAAAGGCTTTTCACTGCATCCTATTGTAAGACAGTTTTCTTTCTAACATGATTTCCTCTCTTTTAGGTTCTATATCTAATAGAGCCTATTGATGAAGTTGCCATCCAGAACCTGCAGACCTACAAAGAAAAGAAATTTGTTGACATCAGCAAGGAAGATTTAGAGCTAGGTAAATATTCATTGTAATTTCTAATCTGGTTAACTTGGATAGTTTCTCATGATGGCTTGACTTGCATCTGTTTCATGACTTCATCTATTCACACTCTTGGGTACTTGGTCATAACATAAATGTGAAATCAGGTGATGAAGACGAGGTCAAAGAAAGAGGAAAAAAGCAAGAATACAATCTTCTTTGTGATTGGATAAAACAACAGCTCGGCGACAAGGTGGCTAAAGTGCAAGTTTCTAAGCGTCTTAGCTCATCCCCGTGTGTACTTGTTTCTGGCAAATTTGGGTGGTCTGCTAATATGGAAAGGTAGATCATGCTTATTTCAGAACATTTTTGGTCCAACTAGTGCAAAGAATCTCTCTTTCTTCGTGAATATTTTAACTGAGATGACACGTTTTCTTTGAAGGCTTATGAAAGCACAGACTCTTGGAGACACTTCTACCTTGGAGTTCATGAGGGGACGAAGAATATTGGAGGTCAATCCAGATCATCCCATAATCAAAGATCTAAATGTGAGATCCGAATCTTCTATTCATACTTAATACTTGATGCCTGTTTTGTGAATGGTATTTGCTCATCTGAAAGTTCTCGTAAGATTCATATAGAGGGTGTACTGTGCATGAAAAGATTCCTCGGACCTCAGCCAAACATAGATTTTGGTCCAAGCTACTGAAAGCCATTTGCAGTCACTAATGACATAATTTGGATGGGAGGTCATCTCATCTGATTTTAGTGCACGAAAATTTTCTTTCAAATTATGGGATTGGATCTGGTAATTGGTTTTTCATTTTTCTTGTCAATAATATGAACTCACCCAGCTATGATGGAGTCAAACTGAAGACTATAATTGTCAAATTGATAAGATAGAAGAAAACATTTGCAAATATATAACAGGATGAACTAAGAAGATAATAGTCTTAGTTTAGCTTGAGGTTTAAAAGATGCTATTATCAACAACTATGTATTTAACTGTTCAATTAGTTTTATTTTCCTTCTGGTCATAGAATTAATGCTGGGATACCTATTATTTCTTCTGACCAAATTGAAGGGTTAGCAACATCTAAATTGCTGTTAAATTGCAGGCTGCATGCAAGAACGCTCCTGATAGTACTGAAGCCAAGAGAGCTGTTGACCTTTTGTATAATACAGCCTTGATTTCCAGCGGATTCTCTGTAAGCACTGTATTACTATCTTTGCAATGTGTTAATGATATAATATTTTGTTGCATGAGTAGCTTTAATCTCTTGTCTAAACTTTTTCGTTTTCCCAATTGAATGGCACAGCCTGAAAGTCCTGCTGAGTTGGGGAACAAGATATATGAAATGATGGCAATTGCCCTTGGTGGAAGATGGGGGAGATTGGAATCGGAAGAGAGAGAGACAGAAGCAGATACCGAGGTTGAATCCGATTCAGGTGATGCTGAAACCTCGGGGACAGAAGTGGTTGAACCATCAGAAGTGAGGGCGGAAAGCGATCCTTGGAAGGATTGATGTTCCTTTTGTTTTTGGTAGAGCTTCCACAATTGTTAGCTTTTATAGGTACGGCTTAGTGGATAAGAGGTTGAGAGAGCGGATAGATAAAATGCTATAACCTATAAGCTGTGATATATGTTTCCTGAGAAACGCATTTTAATCTTTAGTAAGAGGAATGATATTGAATCGTACTGCAATTTTTGGGACCACCACCATCCTGTTCAGCTACTTGTGCAATTCTTTTTTTTTTTTCTTTTCTTTTCTTTGTTTTTTTTTTTTTTTAGGCCAGGAGGGAGGGTTGGGGTAAAGGTTTTAATTTCCTATATGTGCTTAAATGCGTCCGACGCCAAGAATGAAGAACCAAAAGCCATTTGCATCCTCAGGTTTGAGAATGAGACCACCTAGCAAATTCTGAAGTGGTTGCAGGTTGCCGCTTGCAGGACATGTGTTGGGCTCTCCTCTCAACAAAAACTGTCCCAACATCATCTGTGTCGGCAGGAGACTGGAACAGTTTTTCGTTGGAAGTCCCGGACTTGCAGTACATGTAATGATAATGTATTACATTTACATACATGCCTTGGTTGTTTTCCCAACCATCGGGGCGTCTCACAACGTCCCACAGTACATCAGCCGTGTATTGGGAACATCTCCCAATGATGATATCATTATTGTTTCTGGTACTATCATCGGAAGATGTTCTTGATACATGGTGGGGATGTGCTGTGGGACATTGTGGGATGCCCCCTTGTGGGGCGCAGATCTGAACACTCTAATGTGACCTGTATCCAGTCATCTCATATAATTTGCACTGATATAAAATCATGATAATGCAATGATTCATGTTGGGAGCAAATCTAAACTCTATTGTGAGATGTGCAGACATATGATCTTGAAAGAGTCTTGGCCTGGGATAACTTTTGTTGTTGAGAGGTGATCCCGATTCCACTCGGTCACCCAAATCTAGTTTCTCTTTATATCTCTTGCTACTTTATCTTGTTTGACGAGTTAGTTACTTGGCCATGACATATGAAATAGACAGCCCCGCCATTCCCCTTCACTGTCATCTACAACACTGCGGGGAGGAGGTAGACAAAGGTCAATTGTGATGCTTCCATGCCTTAGAGATCTTTCTCTTCTGGTTGAAGGGTGTGTTTTCGTTCTTGGAGGTGTGATCTCATCTGGGCCTCAGCGGTGAATGGCGGTCTGGCAAGATCTTATTGAAGCTTGTTGTTTCCCTTTTAGATGGTGTTTGGTATTGATGCAGCTTTTCGAAGAAACGGTGCTAATTCAGCATTGTAGATGTGTTTAACAAAAAAAAAAAAAAAACACAGCAAGTTTTTGATTGAGCCGCTCTCTAAAATCCTGTGAACCATTTATCAAAAAAACACCAATTTTGACGTTTTTCATTTTTAAGATCGATTTTTCACTGTTTGGCTTATATGGTGTCTGAAGGCACTAAGGTGTAAAAAAATTGTATAAAATGTTTTATCTTATAAATGCCACCGTTACCAAACAACCCCTTAATTTAGCTGAACAGAGTTAAAATCAGCCTCCCACAAGATAGTTTCCCACAACGTCTCATAACATGTCCTTGCCGTGTATGGGGCAATCTCTCGATAATGTCTCATCATTTTTGGTATTTGATCATTGGGAGATGTACTGTAGGACATTGTGGAAACTATCTTGTAGGGGGTTGATTTGAACTCAGCTGAGCGTGTTGCTACTTGCTAAGAGCGATTAAGCAAGGCTATTTGATCGAGAGCTCTCAGCCATCAGATATGCTATCTTGGCATTTGGTGGGCTCCGCTGATGTCTCCAGAATGAGACCAGATCTATTCCTCACACCTGTCGCCTCACACGGACATCCTATCATGCATTGGGAACATCTCCCGTATTTATTAGTTATAATTCACAGAAGATGTTCTCAATGCACGTGGATGTGCTTGTGAGGTGCCCATTTGTAAGGAGCAGACCCCATCACCTCCAGCATACATATTTGCGCCCTACAATATATCCCAACTATATATTAAGAGACAACTAGGGAGATGTTCCCAATGCAGGCTGAGATGTGCATGTGGGGGCTGATTTGATCTCGTCGATGTTGTGCACTGCTTTTCTATTCTACCAAAACTTAACTGTAACCAGAGTTATGGATCCGGATGCGCCCCAACAGGGTCTTCGGGATACAGCTAGACAGTCAGTCACTCTAGTCTCCTACCAATACAGATTACAGTTACAGATGGAGCCACGGAGGTTTAAGAAGGGCTTACCTTCTCCCCGCCCACCGCCCACCTCCCACCTCGAAACCATGAGCTGGAATCTCGTAAGCTTTGCTCTCAGGCCTCAACTGTTCCTTCAATCAATTTATCTTTTTCGTTCATTCTGATCCTTTATCCTCTTTCTTCTGAAAACTGTAAAATTTTATGTCAAGTAACGAAACTCTGATTTCAGCTACGAACCTAAGCAACTTGGTTCAAATTATTTAGCCCCAGACGATAAATACAAATCTTTCTAGTTTCCACCCAAAGCCATCAAACATACGCAAAAGGGATGTGGAGAAATATAGTGAAACAAGCCTGTTCAACGAACTTTTTTTCCCGCGATTCCTCTTCTATGTTACGCACTTTTGGTGTTGTGGGCTACTCTCAGTATCCCGTTTTTCACGATAAAGCCAGACAGTTTGAGTTCAAAAGCAGCATAAATGCCGGGTTTTCTGAAAGTTGTTTTCTTCGAAATGGGGAATCACCATCCAAAGAAGACGATTTGGGAATACTCAGTTTTGGGTGTTTCAGGAATTCGATGGGTCTTTCCAGGTTTTCGAATCATCCCAAGGGTTACGCTAGTGTTGCCGAGGTTCTCTCTTCAACGGATGCGGAGGAAGATGTCTCTGTTGTTGACGAGATTCAGGAATTATTGGAGGAGATGAGCAAAGAAGAGAAGGAACTTGAATTCAGTCATCAGAAACAGACAAAATTGGTTGGAGGAATGGGGCAAGGGAAGTACCTATTGCTTCGGAGGAGACAAGTGAAGATTGAGACAGAGGCGTGGGAACAGGCTGCCAAGGAGTACAAGGAGCTTCTTATGGACATGTGTGAACAGAAACTGGCTCCCAATTTGCCTTACATGAAGTCGTTGTTCCTTGGTTGGTTCGAGCCATTACGTGATTGCATTGCAGCAGAGCAGGAATTGTGTAGGAAAGGAAAGAACAGGGCTGCTTATGCTCCATATTTTGATCAATTGCCAGCAGAGATGATGTCAGTTATTACGATGCATAAGCTCGTGGGGTTGCTAATGACGGGAGGAGAACATGGCAGTGCTAGGGTGGTCCAAGCTGCTTGCCTGATAGGTCAAGCCATTGAGAATGAGGTAGGTGATCTTTCATTTGAATCAAGTACTTGATTTATTATTACTTAATGAGAGAGACCTTTTCTTCTTTTTATTTACAACTAAATTCTAGTTTGAATCTGTTTATTTCCATCCCTGTAAATGGATGGAAGACAAATATTAACCTCTTTTTTTTTCTCTAAATCCATCTTGTTATATATATCTGGTAACTTCATGTTCAACCGCGTTAATGGATAAATGTCAAATCTGATAGACAGTACAATAAGCAGTAGAAGCCCATTTGAATGAAAAACTTATGTTTGACTGCCTGCAAATGGGTTCCATTTCTCTCGGTTTTTTTTGGAATTTCTTTTTGTTGATTATAAATAATTTATTAAGAGATGTAGAGAAATATGACTAAAGTCATTTTGGACTTTAAGAGAGGGGAAGGGAATGTTTCAAACTTAGTGAGGTGAACCAACGGAGAGGTTAAATCAAGAATGAAATTACCTTTTTTATCAGTACCGAGATAACATCATTTATCTGAAATACAGCATACGTTCTACTCTAGATATGAGATGGGGAACCAAAAAGTAAAAAAGGATAAACAGTCACAAATGGGCTTACCGGTTCCAAAAGAGTAAAAAAAAAAAATCACAGATGGCCTATAGTATCCTTTGGTGGTAGTGAGGGGACATTTTGGACCAAATATTATAGATTCCCTGAGTGCGGCAAAGGTGAGTGACAGAAGCAGATTAGAAAGTAAGAATCAGTTCAAGAATGAGAATTGTGAAGCCTTTCTAGCACAAATGTTGTTTCACTTGTTTTCTATATATGTCTATTTTATCATATGTGCAATAACAAGTGATGCATCTAATGATTGGAGGGACTCAAAAACTGTAATTGGCTGGATGAATGGTGCAATATCTGGCCTATAGACCTTTAGACATCAAATTTAGGAAGCAAGACATCTAGTTTAGAGATTAGAAGCAGTGCCTGCTTTGGTGCCTCAGTCCGTTAATTGCTAATTGTCTTGCAAATTCTCTAGCTCATGAAGTGTAGTGGTTATTATCTGGACTGAAACTGTTTTTTCAGCTCTCTTAGGAGGGCCTTGTTAGCAGTATTGGGACTATATATAATGTTATTAAACATATAGAGATGGTGTACCTGCTGTAAATATACACTGAGTATACTATCAATGAAACTCTTTCAAGTTACTGATAAAAATGTTTGGTGGCCCTTCTCCATGGGCTGAAATTGGCCAAACAGTTGGGGCTTCAGCAACATGAAGTGAAAGGTGATTCAAAACTACTGATAGGGTGGATGCAGACTAGAAATTGGGGCATGGACCCACAGACAGGTCATGAGGGAGATTTTTCATTTAACAAGGGAGATTGATGTCAACTTCAAGTGGTAGAACAAGCCGATAGTTTAGCTAAACAAGGGACAAATAGAGGGGAACTCTTTTGGGATGCTTTGTAATTGTTTTTAGCACTCTTGTCTTGGGTTCTGATCAATGCAACTTCTTTAGTTATTAATCAAAAGTTACTGTTTCCTATCAAAATAAATAAATAAAAATTAAAAAGGTGATGCATCTAACTTTTTTACAGCTTCACATGTCTTAGTTATCTTCAGCTATTTTTCTCCCTTCTTGTGTTTGTATGTTCAGAAAAAAACCCATGGTCATGTTGAATCTTGATAATTCATATGGAGACAGATTCTTCATTGGAAAGATTATTAAAAGTAGCATATCAATAAAAAAAGTTCACTGGAAAGAGACTGAAAATTACCAATATCAGCAGCTGGTTTGAGGAGGTTCCTGCCTGAGACCCTTCAATCCTACTTAGGAGGAACTCAGAAATTAAATTCTATTCATCAACTTATAGATCACTAGGCATTTTTTTCTTCTTCTTGAGGGAGACAAAACTAATGCAATTCAATTGCACCAAAGTTCCGGGGCCAAAGCACCCCTGCACATTGCTAAATGAAATCCTTATCAACCTTGAAGGTTCAGGCTAGATGGGTTCCTAGGGAAATGAAGGCTAGTAAATGTGTACATGTGTTGCACGTGGTGATTTCAGATAATAATAACAATAACAATTTTAATCTCTATCAGAATCCATATAACGAAGACAAGTAATTGAAGCATGCTATACTAGTGGATTTATTGGTTTTAAATTTTGTATTCCATGTCCATCATTAATAAAAATAGTTCTTATTATATCACACATATTTTTGTTTAATATGATAAACATATATAATATTTTTTTGAATATATATAATATTAGAGATGTGCCCAAATGTTTATTACCAATTTTCTGAACTACTTCATAATTTTTTGTGTTTCTATCTTTTTTAAAAATTCATGATTTAATTATGACATTATGGATTGAACCATTTGACTTGAAAGGTTAAACCATTAACTGACCACCTAGACAGGAAAATGATTTTATTTTTGGGTCAATTTTAAATATTTACTTGATTTTTCATCATTAATAAAAATAATTATTGTTTATCATAGTTAACTTTCTTACTATAATTAATATATGATATTGGAGATCTGTCAAGCATTTCAATTTTTTTTGCAATTTTTTGTATTTATTTCTATTTTTCAAAATTTTATTATTTAGTTATGACATCATGGGTTAACTCATTTGACTGAGTGGTTGATCAATAGCCAGCCACCTAGATGGAAAAACGGTTTTTGTTTCTGGGCCAATTTTAAATCTTGTATTCCATTTTTGTCATTAATAAAAGTACTTCTCATTTTTTGTTTGATATGGTGATCATATAACATTAGAGATGTGCCCAATTTTTTCTACAAAATTTCTGTATTTTCTATTATCTTTTTTATTTTATCTATTTTTTTAAATCTTTTGTTATTTAATTATGGCATCAAAGGTTGAACCATTTGATGCAAATCAGAAAATGGTTGAATTGAACTACTTACTCCTCACCGGGACAAAAAAAATAGTCCTATTTCTAAGTTGGTTTAAAAACATAGGATTTTGTGCCCTTAAAATTAGGGAAAATTGCAGATTAGTACCCTGTACTTTGGGCCTAGTCGCACTTTGGTACCCAAATTTCAAGACATGCCAATCCATTACTTAAACTCCCAAAATGCCCCAGTTTAGTCTCTGTTCTTAGCAGTCTGTCAGTCATCTGTATCACGTGATGACATGTGCAACTTAAAACTTTTGAAAAGGTCAAAATTACCCTTCAAAATAAGACATTGTTTATCATCTTCTTCCTCAAGAATCAAGATTGAACCAAAGCAACAGTGAACAACCCAAAGGGCATTTGGGTGGTTGATAAAGAAAATTACATGATACCCGAAGGGCATTTGCATCCCTTCACAGGCCACTTAACGGACAGCTAATGGTGGGGACTAAACTAGGACATTTTGGGAGTTCAGGTATTGGATTGGCATGTTTTGAAATCCGAGTTCCAAAATGAGACCAGGCCCAAAGTACAGGGTACTAATCTGCAAATTACCCTTAAAATTATTGGGTGTAGATTTAATCAGTGGAATTTAATGGTGAAAACCAAAAATGCCTCAAATATTGGATTTAATGATAGAGAATGGGAGTCAGTGCATTAAATTTAGAACTTAATGAATGGAAATAGAGTAAACTTATTGTAGTAGTTAAAATTATGATTCCTGCCCTCACATAGAGAGTTATTATATTCAAAGAAAGGGGGATTTAGTGTAGATTATCAATTATTTTTTTATATTTGTTTGGTGGCTAGAAGGGAGTGGTTTTACAAATGCCCAAGGCACTAGAGATGCAACTTGGACAGGCCCAACCTGAGCCCAGGCCAACCCAGCCTGCAATTTTACATGGGCTGGGCTTGGATTTTAGGGCCTCAGTCTGGGCCCAGCCCAAGCCCGGCCCTACCTTATCCTAACCTGAGCCCAGCCTGCCTATATACATACATATGCAAATACAAACATATTATGCATATTTAAACCATATATATATGCATACATGTATACATATATACATACATTTATATTAAATTTTAATGTGAGCTGATTGACCAACCGGCCTGGGCCCAAGCCTAACCCGAGTGCATCAAATTTCAGTTCAGGCTGGGCCCAGGTTGGACAGTTTGGGCTTGACGTCAGGCTTGGGCCTTAGGCCCAATTTGTAGGGTTGGACCTGGGTTGAGCTTAAGCCCGGCCAAGCCCACCCAACTTGCACCCCTACAAGGCACTTTATGAGGAAATAAATGTTATAACAGCTGGGTTTATAATTTTTCTTGGCTAGACAAACAAGGATAGCTTGAAAAGCATAGGCACCATCTGTCAAAAAATTTTCTAAAGTAAATGCTACAATTGATCAAGTTGATGTTGTTGCCCTCATCTTCAAATGAAGACAATTAAAAAACATGGGCAATTTCTGTCAAGAAAAAGTCCAGAAATCTTAACAGGCCCTTGGTGCATTTTATAGTAGTATAAATAAATTTGGGTATTGGGAGGCTTTCTTGTATAGCAATAGCTCCACTCTTATGTAAATTTGGGTATTTCGAGAGCTGCATGAGGCAAAATTCTCACTTATTGGGCCTTGGATTCCAAATTTTATTCCATTGCATTTTTTCCTTTTGAATATAGTTTGCTACTCTTTATCTAGTTATACTCTTTCTCAACGTGTTAAACCTTCTTCATTTCCTCCTTTTATGCATCTGTGGGTGGTTTTTGATTTGGAGTCAATGTTGCAGGATGAGTGTGCGAACTAGCACATCTCTATGTCTTGGGAAGTTCATCCTTCTGTGTTCTTTGTGTCTTGAATGAAGCTAGGTTTTCAGTGGCAAAACTTGGTGTTTCTGCTCAAGCAAGGCAAACAAATATAGTTGGTTTTGAACTATCATTATTTCACCCTTATTCACCATCTTGGGTTTCTACCACATCACCAAGTATTCATTTTTAAACAATGTTGGGATGGATCAGGTTAGGATATACAAGTTTTTGGAGAAGACGAAGAAAAAGACCGATAAAGATAAGAAAGCAGAAGGTGGTGAATCTGATCCCGCAATCAAAGAACAACAAAGATTAAGGAAAAAGGTTACTGATTTGATGAAAAAGCAAAAGCTGCAGCAAGTGCGGCAGATAGTGAAGAGCCAGGATGATTCAAAGCCATGGGGCCAGGATGCTCAGGCTAAGGTATGTATCCTTGATTGTATTTACAGGAAAAAAACTCCTGGTTTCTCCAGTTTTCTGTATGTAAAATTTCATGCCATGTTCTTGTATATTCCAGGTTGGAAGCCATCTTATTGAATTATTGATGCAAACGGCCTATATACAATCTCCAGCTGATCAGCTAGCAGATGGCCCACCGGATATTCGACCTGCTTTTAGACACACTCTTAAAACTATTACAAAAGAATCACAGTGAGGACTTTGTCCTGTGTGATTGATTTAGAAACCTAGATTCCTTTTTTCTTGTTTATGTTGAACATTATTAGAAGAACATTTCTTCTTGTTCAACAGGAAAACCAGCAGAAGATATGGGCTTATTGAATGTGACCCATTAGTTCGCAAGGGATTAGAGAGAACTGTAAGTTGAACTACTGTTTTTAGAGAGGTTGGTGTTGCCTGATTGAAGTTGATTTGTTTCAGTACCAATCAATTATTTCTCTACTGCATGTATTTGTGAGCATATTTGTAGACTTGTATGTTCTTAAGTCCTTGAGGTGTTTCCAAATGAAAAACTGTTTCCTGCATAATAATCTCAACTTAAGCCAATTAGGCCCTAGATCATAAGCAAATGTTCTTTTTTTCCTAACAGGCAAGGCACATGGTGATCCCTTATATGCCAATGTTGGTGCCTCCACTCAATTGGACAGGGTATGACATTCCAGAATCTACTGATTACTTCATGTCTTTATTTCAGAGTTCATTTTATTTTTAACTTAATGCTTAGTTCAGTTAACAAGGTAAGTTCTGACTAGTCACACTTTTATTTCTCAAATAAGATGAGCTACTTGATCACAGTGTAAATAAGTTTCTGTTTGCTTGTATCCAGTAGTTATATAAGACAATAACTACTATTAGAAGTTGAGAATGTTAGCCAGATATTTATGTGAACTTCCTCTTGTTAAGTTATGTGGTCAATTCATGCTGTGTTATGGTTTTTCCCATATATTTTTTTTGGCAGATATGATAAAGGTGCATACCTATTTTTACCATCTTATGTCATGCGAACTCATGGAGCAAGACAACAACGGGAAGCAGTTAAGAGGACTTCAAGGAAGCAGTTAGAACCAATTTTTGAGGTTTGAAAACTTTGGGTTCATTCCTTGTCATTTTCCATGTTTCTTGCTGTTTAAAAGTTAATCTTGAGTTCTGTTATGTTACTGATAGAAAAAAAAGTCTTTCATTTTCTTTCATGACTATGGCTGTGTAACTTCTATGTGTTGTCACTTTCTTCGTCCTGTTCTTTGTTGCAATAGTGCCTTAACAATGTCCTAAACTGTCCAGGCACTGGATACACTTGGCAATACCAAATGGAGGATTAACAAAAGGGTACTTGGTGTGGTAGACAGAATATGGGCTAGTGGAGGTCGTCTAGCTGATTTGGTTGACCGTGAAGATGTAAGTTGCATTTTACCAATTACTAGTAAACTAATTTTTAGGGCTGCATTTTTCCTTGTTATTGAAGTGATCTGTTTCAAGTTGAAGGAGCTAGAAGGGCTAGGGGTAGACCAGAAAGGACATGGGTTGAAGTAGTAAGAAATGATTTAAGTGCTCATAATTTGACAATGGATATGGCATAACAGAATGACGAAATAGGATTCATGTAGCCAAATCCATATAGTTAGGATATGGATTAGAAGATGATGATGAATTTTCCTTGTTATTGAATGGAAATTCACAAACATCACCAAACTTATACATGCACCATTGCATATATAATATAATATAATAATACTTTAAACTAGTAAATGCACACACTTGAATTTACTTGTGTGAGAAGCCCTGACTTAACTTCTATTTTGATAAAAATGATCTTTAATTTTGTCTGCTTCAGGTTCCTCTACCAGAAGAACCTGAAACAGAAGATGAAGCAGAACTCAAGAAATGGAAATGGAAAGTTAAGGCTGTGAAGAAAGAGAACAGTGAGAGGCACTCACAGCGTTGTGACACAGAACTTAAACTTGCTGTAAGAAGATTTCTTTCCAACCCCATATTTTGGTGTTATTTAATAGATGTTGCACCACCATAGAGTGGACCAATTCTTCTTATTTAAGAGCAGGTAGCTAGGAGAATGAAGGATGAGAATGGTTTCTTCTATCCACACAATCTTGACTTTCGAGGCCGTGCATATCCCATGCACCCATATTTAAATCATCTTGGTTCGGACCTGTGTCGAGGAATCTTGGAGTTTGCCGAAGGACGTCCTCTTGGAAAGTCTGGCTTACGGTGGCTGAAGATACATTTGGCAAATTTATATGCTGGTGGTGTGGACAAGTTATCCTATGAGGGTCGGATAGCATTTACAGAGAACCACTTGGATGATATATTTGATTCTGCAGACAGACCACTGGAAGGTAGGCGCTGGTGGTTAAATGCAGACGATCCATTTCAGTGCTTGGCAGTATGCATCAATCTCTCTGAAGCATTAAGGAGTTGCTCACCAGAGACCATGATCTCACATATACCCATCCACCAGGTACTTTCTTATGGTCAAAAATCTTTCTCTTGTAATTTTTCTGTGATGCAAATAATCATGCAAGTGGACTATAAAAATGTTAATTTCCATAGGCTTTTATTGGGAAATTTTCTCTCTTCACAGGCGAGGGAACAATAAGGATGTATATAAGTAATTAGTATTTTATTCATCAAATTCTGAACATAAAAACATGGGAGGCTAGGTCTTTGGCCTGAAGAATGAAAACCTTGTTAAAAATGGATCAGGAGATTGACTAACACTCTAGCAGATGCACTTGCTAAAGGAGTAAATAGGAGTGAACAGTTGGTGTCTGTCCTTTTGTGTTTTTGGGTGGGTGCTAGGTGTTTTTCACCTAGCCCTGTTTTTCTAAATGCTTTGTATTCTGTTATATTTCCTAAAACTCCTTTGAACTGTTATAAAATGAAAACAAATAAAATTGAAATTCCTCTGAGCATGCAAGGTTATTCTTATATACTGAGCACCAGACAAGGCATTGGGGGTGTACAACTGTATTCATATATGAACTTACCTAAGTATCTATTTGTCCATGTTTGGTTTTGCATCTTGTGTTTTGGTTGTGGTCTTCCAACATCTGAGCTTGTACTAGTTGTATTTTATCTTGTGCTACCAATAAATGAATTTTAAAAAGTAAATAACCTCCAGAGTATTGGATAAGTTGGACACTTTCTCTTCTTATCTATTTATTTTTTAGTAACAAAAAAGTGAGGTTTACAGTATATGAAATATAAAAAATCAAATTATTTAATTGTGAATATTTGCAGGAAATGTCATCAAATTTCTCCTGGAACCACCTTTTTTAATTGCCTTATAATCTGGTTCCTATGCCCTACAAATGAGAGACCATTTACTGTACCTAGATTTGAGTTATATTTTCATATCAATAGATATATGTATCTAGATCTGTAATAGAGGAAAATTTGATTCATTAATGTTTGTTTTTCTATCTTATGCGTCCAGGATGGATCATGTAATGGCTTACAACATTATGCTGCCCTTGGAAGAGACAAGGTAATGCCTTTTCCTATTCATTATTAATTCATGTTACTTTATATTGCTAAATTCTGTTTATGATGGTTTCAATTTGTATAATTGGAAATGGAGGTCTATAATTTAAACTTCAGTCATAAGTAAAACATTTTGTTTTCATGTTTATCAAATCACAGGGAAAATTGAACCAGCAGTTTTTCCTGTTGTTTGATTGGTGCCTCATGAGAGAATTAGAAATGAAATTTCTTAAATTGAGGAAAAAGAAGAGACATGTGGGATCTCAAGTTTGATAATTTCTTAGGCATGCAATGGTCGCGATGATTTGATATAAACCTTTACCTGGCTCCTCTTCTGTCTCAATTTCCAGGCCTCTACCACACCTATATAAGTATTTCCTTCCCCCCTTTGTCTAAGTCCTCATTCAGCATCAGATCATTCTCGTTTGAACAATCTGGTCTTGAACCAAATCTAGGTATGGATAACTTCCTCAACTTACACTAAGGGTCCATTTGGTTCGCGGGAATTAGGGTCTAGAATTGGAATCGGAACAGACCATTCCGATTCCAACTGTTTAGTTGGCAGAATCAGAATCCCATTCCCATTCCTGGTGCAACGGCATTCCCCCATTTGAGGGAATGGCCATTCCCTCCCCCTCCCTTGGGAATGAGAATCCATTATAGCTGATTCTGATTCCCGTATAAACCAAACTGGCAGGAGGAATAGACCATTCTGATTCTGGTTCTGATTCTGATTCCAACTGCAAACCAAATGGAACCAAAGTGTATTTCCTTTGTTAGATAGGGTGGGAGGATGGAAACAAGATTAAGTTTTGGACTGACCTCTGGTGGAGAAATCTTACCCTTGTTTATTTCACCTATCCGAAACTCAGGAAGCTACCATTGCATCTTGCTCATCTTGCTCCTCTCCCTCTCCCCTTGGGATTAGTTGGAACCTTAGAAGACCTCCAAGGGACGTTAAGATTGATGAAATTACTAACATCCTCCACTCCCTATGGGAGGTCTATGTTTCCCCTTCTTCTGTAAACCATAACATTTGAATCCTTCACCCAGCCGGTAAATTCTTGACCAAGACTTTTTTCAAGACTCTTGTTTCAGGTGAGCAAAGTTCTTTTTTTTTTCCTTACAAGAAAATTTTGATTCCCCTTGCTCCCATGAGAGTTTCCTTCTTTGTGTGGGAGGCTTGGGGAGAATTAACACTTGTGGTCTGATCCAGGAAAAGAACAAAGGCAGATTATGTATCTCCCCTCACGTTTGCATCTTGTGCCTCCATGATGGTGAATCTACTGAGCACCTCCTTATTCACTGTTTGGAAACAAGAAAATTCTGGAATCACTTCCTGCACCTTGTTGGTTACAGCTGGGCAGCCCCTGAACATGTATTGGAGCTTCTTAAGCAATGACTAGGTAGGGGTTTGGGCAAGAGAGGGAAAGCCTATTGGAGCACATTGACTCATGCAGTATTACAGTGATGTGGGGAATGTGGGAAGAAAGAAACAAGCAATTTTTTTGAAAACAAGGCAATAACCACTGAAGAACTTATTTCTTATGTAACCTTTTTATGTTACACATGGGTGACAAGCTCTGAGGTTTTCAAAGGTTTCTCTCTATCAGACTTACAAAGGAATTTAGTGGAAATTTTACACTCCTTTACCCTGTCTCTAGCCTCTGTTCAGGACCCCTTGGTTAGAAAGAAGGTGGGAACAAGACTAAACTTTAGTGGAAAAACTGTAGGCAATCCCTGGGAGGCAGGGATTGGAGGTGTGATCAGGGAGGAATATGGAAATATTTGCTGGTCTTTTAATGGCCCAATAGGGATTGTGGACTCTACAAAATGTGAGATTTTGGCTGCTTTAACAGGTCTCCAAATTGCAAAGAATTTGGGGCTATCTCTCCTAACCATCTAAGGAGACTCTGAAAACACCATAAAATGGTTAGGGGAGAAGGACATGGCCCTTGGCAACTGGTACACAATCTGGGCGAGGCAAGAGACATCATGGCCTAGATGACTAAAGATTAGATGAATCCCTAGGGAACTTATTTCTTTGGCTGATGGTTTAGCCAAATCTGGGGTCCATAGGGATTCTTTGTTTAGTGATTGCTTTCTGCCCTTGTAATCTCTTCAGAGAGTCCCTCCTTGTTTACAGTTGTACATCTTCTCATGTACCCTTTTTCTAGTCTCTTTGAAATCGTTATTCTCTTAAAAAAATCTAATCGTTGACAGGCCTAATGTTTCATATTCTTTATTTTCTTTCTTACTTGGTTCCATTAACATGGTCTTATTAAGGCATTTTCACCCTTGTGTGTTTGTGCAGCTAGCCAAAAAATATCATCTGTTAAACTTTCCCTTTCATTTTGGTTTCTACATGCAGGGTTCATGTTTATGTTACCATTATTAGATCATTGTGTTGATTATCTGTTAGATGGAATTAGAAATGCACTCTTGACTAAACCATCCACTGCTTCTTAATACTTCTGTCTGCTTCTGTCTAACATGTTTCTTGTCTTTTTGTTATTCAAATTGTTCTATTTATTCAGTTGGGAGCAGCTGCAGTGAACCTGGTTGCTGGAGATAAACCTGCAGATGTTTACTCAGGAGTAGCTGCTAGGTATGCTGCTTCCTGTAAATGCATAAAAGCTTTCTCTTCCAAACCATCCCTTCAGTAAAATTTTCTTTGCATCCATTTGTTTCAAGCATAGGAGATGGAAAATTTTCCACTTTAAATATTTTAATTATATTTCTTCCCCTTTTACATCAAAACAAGCACAGCGTCAGGGGAAAGAATTAGAGAGCACATGGCATAGGAAGAGAAATGTAAATGGGAGTTGCTACATAAAGGAGAAATTTCCAGTCTTCCATTCTCTAAAATATTAAAATTTAAAAACAAGGCAGATATACCAGAGTTAGGTAGCATGCTACAATACAAAAACAAGAAAAGGAAACATCCAAGAACAATCTAGGCTGAGCTAATAGTCTCCCCATAAACGTCATTAAAACAATAAACATGCTTTAATCAGGAAGAGTTTAACCCTCATAAGATGTATTCCTTCCTATTTCACTTCTAGCCAAAGAACCACCCAGCTTCTTGGCTGATATGATCCAACAGAGTGTGCTATTATATCTAGCTGCCAATATTTTAGCCCTTTGACAGAATGGAGTAAGGCACCATGGACTGTCCCTTCTGTCCAACATGGGGAATATGGCCTGTCCACCATATTTCTTTCTTCATTTTTTCCCTGTTTTCCTCTATTTGGATAATGGTTGAGACCTTTTGCTTTGTATCATCCTCATTTTCTCTTATTGTGGACAAGGTAGTGGAAAATGCAGTTCAAGTAAATAAGGCCTTAGGTCTGGTGGTGTTTGTGTGTCGTGTGTGTGTGTGGGGGGGCG